CGTAAAAACAGCATTTTAAAAACACCTAAAGGTGACATCAATACTTTATTATGGTATAGTATTTAAATGTATGCCTGAAAAACACATGATATTGCCCCTTTAAAATATTTAAACTGCATGATGTTGGTAACAATGATATACAAATCTGAATTGATTCATATACCCCTCCCACATAGTGAAATATGTCTGGCCCACACAACAACACTCGGCTCAGATAATGCAAAGAATGGTGGCCCTTTGGTGGCCCAGATATGGTTTGCCAGAGGTGGTCCATGCATGGACCAGCACTGCAGACAACAAATCACAACTAGGCCAGTTGTGGCATGTCATTTTAAAAAACCAGACCTGGCCCACACACACTTGCTGTGCCAGTAGTTGGCCAGCAGGCCCAGCCTGAAACCAGATCTGGTCCTGTCTGCTGTGTGGGATGTCTAGGACTAAGCTCTGTTTGACAAAGGCCTCTGAGGTTGTTCCTGGKATCTGTTGGAGCCAGTTATCCAGTTTAGGGGTCACAGCACTGTGTGCTTCATTGACAGTTAGAACTACTGACGCCTTGATGCTCCACAGCTTCTCAAATTTCTCTTTCAGCCTTTGGTATTAGGTTTCTCATTTAATGTTGCTACATCGATCATCACTGTCTTCCGAAGCGTGTCGACCATAATGTCCACCATCACCTGTTCATCAGTCTGGAGCTGGAAGCCCCACAGGATCTTAGCTGTCATTCTTCACCACCCTTCGTGGAGTATCCCACTTTGACTGTAGGACCACCGGTTCCTACTGAGCACAGATGTCCCTGTACTGTTCCAGCCACTTGGTTTKGAGGTTTTAGATCTTATTGCTCTTGTGCTGAATGTGTGTTGGTCACATTTGCTAGGCTCGCTCTGAATTTTATGCAAACCAACTTAGTTCAGGCACAGCTATAACTTTAGATGAGCCACAGTAAGGAAGAYGTACAGAACTTTATGTGACGCCTGACACTCACTTAATAAGAACCCAGAACCCACAGGACTTCTTGGAGAAAGCAGATTCGTTTGAAACTGATTCTCTGTGTCTCATCAATACAAATTATTTCTTTGGCTTTACGCCTGAACACCCATCCTCAATCCTTTCTTTTTTTCTTTGCACTTCCACTGTCACCTTTGCTTTGCTTGATCAGACTGYAAAATATGAAATGCTGACGCTAAAAACAGAAAATACACTATTGCTTAGCTCGTGTGCTGGAGCTGAATCAGTTTATTTTTATAACTTGGTTTTATAGTGGAAATGGCATTTTTATATAATTCATAAACTGCACAGAAACAGCTCCACTATCCCTATAATATTATTTCAATCAAAGAAACTCAAACATATGAACTTCAAATTTAATAAAAAGCGTAATAAGATTTTGTATAAAAGCATTATATTGCTGCTTTTGCTGTTTTTGTACTTCCACACTTGCTTCCTTCTGCCGCTAGTTCTCTCCCCAAGACAAATCGATAAAAGAACAGATGATGGGATCAATAAAAAGTTGAATCTGATCAGAAGCTGATTTGCTAAATTTTGATCCCTTTATTTAAAAAAAAGACAGATAAATTTCCTACACGGTCTTGTCTGCTCAATGTATGTCTATCATCTACATAAATATATTTTATTATTAAGATATGTTTACTTATATAGAATGAAATGTTAAGATTAGGGTCAAAATACTATTTTGGACATAAAATCAAAAGGTTTGAAACAAAGGTGTTCATTTCAATTTAGAAAAAGAACATGAGTGTACAGTTGGGTTTGAGAGCATAACGAGGTTTTACTTTATCTGCCTTTAAATTGAAACACTGCTTTAATTATTTTTTCACATTTTTACTCATTTCTCAGTTTTCTGTCTGTACTCTCAAAATAGCATTTTGACTTTAATCTTGAAACTCAAAAAAAAATTCTCTGTTTTTTTTTCTTCTTCCAGGTGGCCCTAATACACTTGTCATGGCTGCTCAAATTTAGAAAATAAACACACTTATTATTGGGATTTTTTTGATCAGTGAAAGAATGACATCCTTTCCTCTTATCTGAATTGCTTTAAAATACAAGACTTTAAAATGCAAAACAAAATAAATARAAGTTCCTGACAGCTGCTGTGCACCAGAAGACTCGTGATGTTGCATAGAGCTGCAGAACGTGTGCAGTTTAGATTAAAACAAATTCAAGTAGAACAATAAAGAATCATAATCGGCGTTGGTAAATGACCTGGAAGACTGCAGTTGAACATTTGTGGGACTAAATATCTGAACATTTGGATTGACTTCAAATAAACCCTTACACGGAGCTTTTTGTGCAATATAATTCCCAAATTAGAATGTCTAATTAGAAACAGAATGTTAAAAAAGTGAATTGTTTTACTTCTAAATGGTTGGATGACTAATTAGCTAATTTATAAAATATGTATTTTATTTTTCAACAGTTGTCCTAAAACCCCATTAAAACCCACTAACAATTATTATGACTTTTTTCACCTTACATCCTTTTGTTTGATCATATTTTTATCTTTAGGACGTGTGAGTGTCTCCTGAACATCTTAAAACGTAGATTGAAAATTGAATTTAATGTTCAAGCAATTCACACAGGGTGCTCACAGACCTTTGGCCATCAGTAGAGTTCACAGCTGAATATGGCTTACAGAAATGGCCCAACATGCAGCTGGTCGCATGCTTGGGCAGACTCCGACAGCATCCTTCAGGGCACACTGCCAGGTCCCAGCTCAGACTGCCAGGTCCCAGCTCAGACAACACAGATCATTCAGTATCTGTCTGCACCAAATTTACTCCCAATAAATCAGAAGTGCTGAACACGGCTCATGTCTGCCACTGTGCAGTTTACATTTTAACACATGCGACTATTAAATCTTTAAACATGGATTTTGGTAAAACTGATGCTGCTGTGGGCAGTTGTTATATATGTAGATATTAAGTAGATGGCTAATATGAACTGAAAACTTTATGGTAATCCATGTAAATGCTATCAGAAATATAAATAGTGAATTCTTCTCCTTTTCAGTGTTATCCTTTAAGATATTTGTGTAGAAAAAAGGACAGTTAAGATCTTTAAAAGAGCAGTTCTGTGGTAACGTTAAGAGCAGTCAATATGTTACCTGTAGAAGATGGGTCTGTGAACGCACTCAGTTTAAAAAAAGTACCCCATGTTTTCTAGGACCTATGTTCCCCTGTACCTATGTTTCCTTGTACCAATTTTTCTGTGTCCCTTGTACTTATATTTTCTTGTACCAATGTATCCTGGTACCCATGTTTCTAGATGCCTGTTTCCAAGTTTTCCTGTACCCATGTTTCTCGATACGCATGTTCCCCGATACCTACG